TCCGTTATAACTGTACCTGAATATATTTACCTAACTTACAAAATTCTGATACATCTTGCCAGGCTTTATTTGAGAATATTTATGTTTTAAAGCTAATGTCCCCATATTTAATTATCATGTTTGCTGTTATCAATCTTTTATTCTGTAACAGTGGTGCTCCCCCTCCCCCAAAAAGTGGTATCCCACACTTGAGGTGTTACTCATTCCTTCTTGAACATTTCCATTCCTTCTTGAACATTTTCCTGCTCCTCACGTCACCTCCTTTCCAAGCATTCCAGAGCCTCTATTCCCTCCACGTTCCCTCATCCTGAACTCAGTGCATCTTTGACTCAGCAACTGGTTTCTGGGACTCCTTTCAGCCCTGCATGCCTCTTCACGTTCAGATATTCATAATGACAAGCTGCATATCTTTCTGAGAAGGAAACTAGCTGAATCTGACCACAGAATGCAAGAAAAGAAGGAAGAAAAGTTACGTGATACAGCTAATCTGGGAGACGGTAAGGCTGGAGTTAGGGTTAGAGCAGTAGGAGGAAAGGTGGTGGTTGGGATTGGGAAGGAAAATTCTACTTTAATCGAATGGAATAGCCTATGGGCAGCTCCCTAAGATAGTGTTCAATATCAAAATGTCCAATAAATTGTGAGTCATTTTGTTGGTGGGAGAGGGAGTCCCCTGAGGAAAGATGGCATACATCTTGTTTCAGAATGTATTAGCAAGGAAAAGGGTTGGATCATCTTTATTTAGTGACATTTTTCTTAAGATAGTTTGTGAATTTATGCAGTTGGGGTTTCCTATCTATAGCAGAGGTATAACAGCATTGTCTACACCTAATGGAAAGGATATTCCCAAAAAGGGTCATTGGAATTGAGAATATTTATGGTGTCTTTCTTTGGGAAACAGCCAGAATCATTCCACTGTGACCTTATTTACTCTTTTCCTAGTGTTTTCAGTGGAAAAGGCCCAAATGATTTTGATTTCTCTTATAGTCATACTTGGGTAACTTGTGAAGTTTATTGTGCTTTCATAGGGCCGAGATTTAGGATATTGGAAGCAGAACATTAGAAGTGAGATAAGCTTCATAAAAGTAGAGGCCTTGAACTGCCTACTGAGATGTAATTTCGTAGCTAATCTAAGTGGATTTCTATTTAAAGTGCTTCAGTGCAATGTTATGCTGTATGTAATGGCACTTACTAGAAAGGTGTTAATGTTGCTGTTTCCACTGAATCAGTCTCATCTTAAATGCTTCATGATTTTATACACAATGGTGTAATAGGACGTCAAGTGCCTCTTCATACACACTTTTCATTAATGATCAACATTTAGGCTTCCTTTTGTGCTTAGGCATCACCTTTTGAACACCCATGGATTTTTCATTCTTTCACTTGATTCCACTCTTGAGGAGAAGGACGAAGTGTAAAGGGAAAATATGAAGTTGGGTCTTTTTAACCTGGAACATACCTCTCCACACTTCTAGGAATAAAATACTAAGCCATATCCATCTTCTTGGGGCTGTGTGTTCAAGAAGCTCAGGGAACCAAGAGGCCTGCCTTTCTGAGATCTGCTTGAATGTCTCCAGGCTTGTTGGATGGTGTCATATTTTATTAATTGTGCATTTACACTGAAAGAGACGTTCCAGGATGGATCAGAGTTCTTCGTCACTGTGTGCATACAGAAGAGCTCCCTGCTGGTGGCCACAGCCATATGTGGCATGTCCACGCTTGGGACCCTGTCCCTTGACTGTCAGCAGGAAGGCCAAGTAGAGGAGTTGCTGCCCTCAGCTGCTGCATGACAGGCAGGTTTTCCTGCTGCTGTCTTTAAGAAGGGCTCCTAGCCTCAAGAAGACATGGTAAGGTAGAAATATCTACCACTAGGCAGAGAACCAGGCAGGCACTTTGACCTCTGGTTTCACATGGGCCAGTGACTCACTGTCTAACCTCAGCCAGTGGCCGCCTGAGTCTGGGTTTCCCCTCTGAAAACTAGGAGGATCTAGACTTGGTAAGTCTCCATTGTTTTAAAGGGGGGCTCTAGAATTTCCTGATTGCAAGCTAAGTACATCCCAAAAGATGACCTCTACTTGTCCCAACATCTATCTGTCAGCTTCTCATATTGCACTTACAGTTGCCAGGCACTCGTCTAAGTCCTGAACAAAGATGATGTCAATCATCAGATGACACTGTAAGGAAGTACTGTTATCATCCCTGTGGTGGATGCCAGCTGGGGTTCAAGCTCAGACAGCCTGTCCTCAAGCCCATGCTCTTAAACATCACACCATGTTGACATCTGCCACATCTAAAGCGCATCCTTTTTCTGGTGGCCTTGGGGAGGAGATTAAATTACTTTTTGGTGGAGGAATCCTAGACATGCAAAGAAGTGGCATTCAGGAGTTCTGGCTTCTTCAGTGAGAACAGCAGAGTCTATTTTATGAGCCGCATATTGAAAATCTTTCACAAAACTTCTATTTTATTCTGCATGATGTTTATGAAAAAGCTGAGACATCGACACAGGAAAAGAGCAAAGATACCTGGGGTCTCAGCTGCAATTAGAGCGTGAGAGTGTATGTGCCTGATTACTGGTTTTGCTTGTATGTAAATGCAAGTCGCTGTGCTAAGCAAAAAATAATTGTAATAGATTCATTGAATCATAATGCAGCCAAGTTTCACTTAGAGCTTTAAACTTGGAGATGAGGCTTTCCCTAGGGCTCCTGTCTGATTATAACTGCTATGCCTGACCTACTTAACAGCTTTTCACAAGGTGGCTTAAAAGCCTCCCAGGATATAGTCATACATGGAAAATCCTCCAGGAGTAACTTTCCATAACCCCTGATCCATTGGTTGGGTATTCGGGGGGCCATGCATCACATAAGGTAATCTTGTTCATGCTTGTAGTTTTCACCTAGGCACGAGTCACGGGTTAATTCTGAAAAACTAGACTCGACAGTGGAGTGACTAAAGGGTTTCAGATCCAGAGGCATTTTGCGTGATAGAATTTGGTTAGGTGTAACTGATCAAGTTAATGCAAGAGAGCCAGGCACCACTTCTCAGGACTTTGGCTTTTGATGTAATCCAGTGTCATGTGTTGAGAGTCTTCCCTTTGGTGATTAGCATATTCCTCCTCTCCTTGTGTTCATGGCAGGGATGAAAGGAAATGAGATTGACCTTTAAAGAAAATACTCTGTCTTAACAGAAGTGAGTCAAGGGTTTGAGTCTATGTTAGAACTGTCTGTCTCGGTCTGTACCAAGTCACCTACTGACTGGTGAAAATTCAGGTGGTAGGGAGAAGACTATTCTTGTCTGTGAACCTAACAGATGTGACCTTGAGCAGACATAATGGAATAAACTACCATCCTCTCAACCGTCAGCATGTCTGAGGCACTGGGAGCTGGTAGTCCCATCCAGAATGGATTCAGGAAGCTTAAACCGGCCCCAGGATTAGAACTAAAGTGGCCTTTCTGAAAGAACTTGGAAGCCAATTGCAGTCAACCCTCTGCGGTCAATGCATGTGAGCAAGAGTAAAGAAAGTGAAAGTTATCAGCAAAAACCAGACGTCTGTGTTTCTTTCCCAGACTCGTACTCTTTACAGTTATTCAGGTCCGAGCACATCACCTTTCTTCTCCCATTGTCCTTTCCTTGTTTGTCCTCCCTTCTTTCTCTATTTGGTCCTGTCCCCTGCCTCAGTGGCCCTCCCCCCTGCTTCTCTCTACTCAGCTGTTTCATTGCTGGGTCTATGGACACACTGAGACCCCTGGGGTTCTGTTCCTAACCTGCTGCCTCTCACTCCTTACAAACTCCATGTTTGCTGGGCCTTTAGAGGACTTTTACCCTTGGTTCCTCTTCTGTGCCCTGTTGGACCATGTTTAACTCCATTCTGGAGTTATTCTCCAGCACTGGGATGTCTGTGGGAGAACAGGGAGACAAGAAAGGCAAGAGGAAGATTTGGAGAGGTCTCTGATGAGCCTCATCTGCCTCACTCCACTTTCACAGAGCAATTCAGAGCAACCTCATCTTTTGGTCCCCAGATCACAAGGTTGGCTTTCTGCTGGCTGGCTAAGTCATCTCAGTGCTTTGAACCTTTCCTTAATGGCCCTGCTTCCCAACTTTTGCCTCCTTTTCTCTGTGGTCTTCTGTTGTCCTACGTAACACCTGTTGAGCCTAATTAAGAATTCCATTTGTTCTTCTCATTTCACATCCTGGCCTTGGGGAATCTATTTTATTATCTTATATGCTAGCCAGTCTAGGAACAAACACATTGTGCCTGAAGTTTCCATGATGCACGAGGAGTGTATGTATGTGGAGTTTGGGGGCAGACGCTGGTAGGATGCTCACTGCACGTGGAAGCAAGAGCCGTGGAATTCGCATCTGGGATTCATGAGCCGCTTTTTCCCACAAAGCGGAGGGCCCCAGCCAGGCCCACCTGTTCCTGTCCATCCTTCTTGGCACATTCCTATTCTGAATCTCGAGCATCCTTAGTCCACGTAAGGTCTCTCCTCCTCACCCACTGCAACTCCCAGAACTCCATGTTTTCCCGTGCTGCCTGGCCGAGTGAACACAACAGCTTCAGCAGCCTGTCGTGGCTTTCTAAAGCGCCTTGTAACTGGCACTTCAGTGGTACGGAGCTCTTTTCTCCAGCAAGAGCCGCTGAAGGGCTTTAAGTTGAACAGTGGCCATGATGATAGGTTTTTGTATGAATCTCCCCTAAAAGACCCAATATGAAGGCTGGAAGAGCAAACTGGCAGTGCTCCTCTGAGAAAGGCAGAGATGCAGGGACACACCTGCACTTGCTGGCTGGAGTAATTAACCTGGGGACAGGAACCACTCAGACCATTTTGGGTCTGTTTTAAAATTTCCCAAAACAGCTGCCTGGCGCATAGGACAAAGGAAGGTAAGAGCAGGAGGGAGAACAATAGCTCCGCCACCCCGCCCCCCTGGCTGTAAGTGACCTTGACTCAGCTGCCAGCCCGGTTGTCTGTTGTTGTCTCTGATGAATCTTTTCCTTCTGCTTTCAGCTCGGGGAACTGCTTCACAAGTTACAGTTCGTCATGACGTACGTGGCTCCTTGGCAGATGGCTTGGGGTTCTTCATTTCACGTGTTTGCTCAGCTCTTTGCCGTCCCTCGTATCCTTTGGGCTTCTATTTTCACCCACGAGCTGAGAGTCACATTTTATGGATGCAAGCTTTTCATTGAACCCTGGCAATGAAAAGATTTGAAAGTCTTTAAGATTACATTTTAATGGGGATGTGGGGAGGCACTTTGGATTCCCCTTAGGCCACTTAGCCTTAAAAGATGTTGCTTAATTTTGAACTCTTCCTGCTTCCTAATGCATATCCAGGATTACTTTTTCTCTGATTCTTCCATTTCCCACACCCAGATCTGCATTAAGATATCCTGTCTTAGAAAGTTACTGCTTAAATGGTTCAGTTGACTTGTGCAAAATAGTGTAAATCGATCTGCTATTATTAAACACGGTGGATAGGGCTAATGGCTCTGATATACTATTATAGATTATCTAACACTATATTAGGATAGAGTTTGGTAATCATATACTTGAGTAATAGTCAAAACTCAGAATTAGATACACATAGAATTACCCAAAGTCTTCTAAAGACGAAAAAACTAATAGATGGTTTTGTTTTGTAGCTGCTCTCAGCCAAGAAGCCTAGTTTTACCGTTTGTAGGTTCATTTGGTTTCTTTGTCTGTTTTTAAGTGTTGCCATAATGATAATTAGTTTTAATTTACTTCAAAACAAACTTGAGATACTCCTTGTAGGGATCACTTTGACACAGGTAAGTTGTGTGTGGGGTGTGTGCGTAAGTGGAGAGAGAGAGATTAATAAAAAATACTCTTGAAGAGAGAGAGATTAGACAAAAATATCCTTGACTCAGGCCTAAAATTTGCCCTCAAAGGCTTTCCATCCCACCTCATTTACACCTCCTAAATGTGTGCTTTCCACAATGTGTTTCAGGAACTACTTGTATGGGAATCCCTGGAGAAGCTTGTTTAACGAAATCCCAGAGCCCAACACATACTTTTAAAATCACATTTCAGGGGGTGGATCCTGGAATGTTCATCTTCAAAAGCCTGCCCAGGATCCTTACCCCACTGGCATGTGTGACCCCCAGTTCTATAGCTTCCTTCCATACGATGTCCACACAAGGCTCATTAAGACGATTCATGAACGGTCTCGGACCTGAACTTCTTGTACAGGCATGGAAACATACGTGGGATTAATTGTTAAAGGATAATATATTCTAGGCTTTTAACAATGCCCTTCTCCAGACTCCTCTGTTTAAAAGCATCTTTTTAAGCATACCAGGAGCTGGCCTTACAATGCACGCTGTTCTGTGCTCCTATTCTTAGACCTGCATTGATATGGCTGAAGTGTTTCAAGGTTATTTGGCAGAACAAGCTAAGGAAAAAAAAATTGCAAGAGTGTGAGCTCTTACACGATTTTTTCCCCTTTAACTGCAATCATTTTCTACAATACCAGTAATTTTGGTTTTTCTAAAGAGTCCTTTAAAACAAAGACAGTGAGCTGAAAGAGAGGTGATTGTTATTTATTTCTGAAGTGTGTCTCAGGCATCCTATCTAGAGTTTACAGCCTGTTTATTAAATGAAAACTACTGGATGATGCAGATTTGTGGTTCAGGAGTTGCACAAAGAATGTGAAACTTGAAGTTTATGATTCCCAATTTTATCCTAACTTTGGTCCCATGCAGATCTGTAGCATTTCTTGTGCCTATTTATGCCTTGTTAGGTGAGTTCAGCGATACTAATTACTCCTTATGGTTCCACAGCTGAGTTAAGACCCTCCTGGGAGCCATCACTTTCAATTACCTGACCTGTTTGTGTGCTGAGGGTTCACACACAAGCACTTCATGTCTGGCACTTAATATCTCCTATAAGAATAAACACGGCATTAGTATCCACCTCAGATTGCACACGGTGCATATTAAATCTAAGTGCTTTCTTGGTGGGTGACTCATTCTCAAGAAATTGAACATTTGAGATGTAGATTTCACTGGGCGTCTGATGGCTCTGTTTTAGAACACTTGATCGATCCCCGTGCTTTGTTCCCAAAACTGCCCAGGATAGTGACATCCACGTTTTCCCTTCTCCTGAGATACAGAGCCTTCAAAGTGACCTCGGAGCCTGACCACTGCAGTTATGTGACAGCTAACAGGACCCGTCACCCCCCTCCCCCTTATCCCAGGACACCTTCCCATCCTTGACTAGTTGTAAAAGTAGATATGTGTTATCTGGAAGCCAGCATTATACCATTCAGAATATAATGAGATCGTAGTTTAGAAAAGTGGATGTATATGCCGTCAAGACAAAGCTATGAGGTTCCTAAGCGCCAGGCCTGGATCTTGACTAATTTTGAAATGTTAATTATTTTATCACTCTATTAAGAAGCTGTGGGTTCAATCCTGGCATCAGGAAGGGACTAATTTGCTCCATTTTGGAACTGAATTAGCTTTCAGGCCAGCAGGGCACTGTTTAGTAAATTGCTTTTTCCAGTACTAGCATGTTTTCTCCCTCGGTAGCCTCTTTTAGTTTCTGAGCTTGTAGCCTCCAGGGACGGATGAGAATGCTCACCCTTTTACTATGTGTAGAGACCATGCAAGACCATTGTGTTCTAGTAATTACAGACGCAGCCAGATTATCTCTGTTAAATGTGTATATTGGGAAGGTTGCAGAATTTCTCTTTGGTATGTCCTTTTGAGCTTCACATGGTTTGTTTTTAACTTTAAGGACTGACAGAGATGTTTTCATTTTAAATGTACGCTAATGGAAGCTTTTGACAGAGTCACCCTCTCCCTGTGGGTAAGAAACAAAGAGGGCTCCATGTGCGGGCTCTCAGGAGTCCCCGCTTCTCGGCGTTGTCTGAGCAGTTATACCGACAGGCTTTTATATTTGCCCTGAGTGTGCTGTATTTCTTTATTGATCTTCCCCTAAATAAAATAACCTCTGAGGCCACCTATTCACTTCTGCCCTACCTCAAACCTGTTAAACCTTATTTCCTTTCCTACCCCATTGAACTTCATTTACAGCTTCACACTGCTTTCCTGACTTAACTTCTGGCTAATTGTTTCTGGCATTTAAAAAATGGACAACATAATCTTGGGGGAAGTACGTAGAATCGAAAAGAAGAGCAGGGCCAGTCTCTCTAGCATCCTGCTCAGCCCCAGGTCCGTGCGGCTTTGTCCTGGTTTTTCTGCAAACCCCCCAGTGCCCTCCTGCCCTCCTCCCATCGGAGAAATCCCCCTGTGGCTCTGCCTTCTCACGTTTTTTCAGTACCTTTACTCCATGACATCCCCCATGCAGTTCTCTTTTCTTCCTGAGACAAGGGGCATGGTTAATTTGGTGTGTTTTGTAACCCAGGTATTCAGATATTTTCAGCTTTCCAATGAAGAGAAAACAGATGGGTGATAATAGATCCCATGGTAGCTCATTGTTCTGTAGCTCTCCGTGTGAACCGAGGTCAAAATAAAAGGAATTGGATTTAAATTGTAGCACCATAGAGATCTTTTTGCTACCCAAACAATTCAACACCGGAATGGATTATTAATGGAGGATATGTCATTTCACTCCTGAAGTTGCTTGGAAGTAAATAGCAAGTTGAAAAAAATAAAATAAAATAAAGACACAGTTATTCCTGAAGCAAAACTCTGAGCTTAAGTCTGTGAAAATACCTGGGGGTGTGCCTATGACAGCACAAGGCTCTCCTTTTCTGGATTTACGTGTAAACGGGCGGTGAGGTCCCCACAGCCACCCCTCCCCAGCACATGGCTGAGAGTATATAAAAGCATCTGGATGCCTGGGTCACTTCTATGTCCTGATTGGCAATGACACATAGAGTCTTCCTGTCTGTGTCAGGCACCCTCTCAGATTTGTAGAGATCAATTCATTGGTTTTCATCCAAATATGGCAGCAGTACTAATTTTAATATTGGACAATTATGTTTCTGATCAACCAGGGTGTGTAAAAGTGAGTCCCACCAGTAAGTGAGAAACCCATACAGAGCGCAACATGCTGTGACTTCATGTGTCTACAGTTTTAGCTTATAAACCAGACATGACTTGAGCCGTTGGTGTTCAATATAGCACAAAGAATATTTTTTTGAATAGTGGGGAAAGAGTCTTTGAGAAACAGAGATGCTACCTTCTCACACAATGCTATTCATTTCTTCTAAAAAGTGTAATTTAATTTTAATTATTTATAAAGCTACTTAATACTTTAGTAAATGTAGCACAGTGCGTTTTGTTCTGCTAATGATGCCCTAGTAAAAAGAGGTTTTTTCAAACCTGAGATATTAAATCTTTGCCATAAATCACCCTGAGACCGCTGGGATTTTTATGAGAAGCATTTGGTTTTCACGCTGGCGAAACAAGACCTAGCAGGATCCTACTGAAAGTTTTATATTCCTGACTCCATACACAGAGAGATCAAGTACATGCCCTCCTTTCTTTCCTTGGTGAGAAAACAGCTTTCATATAAACGAGTCAAAAGCTGAAATAGTATTTCGATATATAATAACAATAAAAAAAATGGTTTGTGGTTTTTTTTGCCTTAACTCAAAATTCTCAGATTCCGCCATACTTTTCTTTCAGACGATTGTCACCTCCATCTTCTCTACTCCACTGAGCCCGTTCCTCGGGAGTGTCATTTTCATCACCTCCTATGTTAGACCAGTGAAATTCTGGGAGAAAAACTACAAGTAAGATCCCAAAGTTGATGCTAATGTTCTTTTGCTAAAATTCATGCTTCTGGATGCTCCTTGACCTTCCTCCATGTCAAGGTTCAGGCTTTATGCCTCACTGGCTGGGGGCTGAACGTATCCCCTGGGGGCTCCCTCCACTCACTGCTCAGCCCGGGGGGCTTCCGGGCTCCGGACCGAATGGGCGTGATCGCAGATTTGCAGTCGGGTACCAGTCGGGGTTTCACTGGTCATGCAGGAAAAATGAGTTGACACTGCTGAGTATTTGCAATTGCCCTCAGAAAGGGTTTTGAGGGAGCCCATGTCGCCCCTTTTGCTTGGCAGAGATTGCCCCTGGATGGCACGTGTCCTCTCTCCATGGTACCTTCTGTGAGTATCCTAAATATGCGTGTCGCGTGCAAGTGTGCACGCTTCACAACTCAACATAAGGGAGAACACCGGGTTTTCTAGAGTGCCATTAAACTTGTAGAAGATGATTTATGTATTTTCTTGACTGTGTGGACTGGCCGGTCATCAATTTCCTCCAGCAGTGATGGAGTGGGGGCGGTTACTTCTTGAGGGAAGGCGTGAAGGTGGAGTCATCGTCCGCTAAGTAATTTTCCAGAACTCCTCTTCGAACAGGTGGTGGAAGGGAAGGCTGGTGAGCTGGCCCATCTGCAGCTGGGGCAGAGGAGGTGGACTTTTATTCCAGAACTCCTCCTGGTAACTTATAGCCTTCCCTGCGCTGAGCCCCATAAACCCCAGTCCGCCCTCAGCAGTACGTCTGCATTTTGCACGACTCTGGCCCTTGACGATGTGCTCTTTATGTCTTATACAAGACACCATTAATGGAGGAGGGCTGTGGTTTCTGTTTCTCCCCTTCAACGTAAAATGCACACCCTTGTGGGACAGGCAGAAGGAGGTGGTGATTAAAACTCAGCCTGGGGTGCCCGCCTGCCTGGGCTCACATCTCACCTCTACCACTTAACGCTGGCGACCTCAGGCCTCTCTCTCCTCTTCTGTAAAATGGGGGCAAAATGAAGGGACCTACTTCACAGACTTGCTGTGAGGAGAAAATGGGTTAATATACATAGACCCCATGTGAGCCTGCACCCCTGTGATTCTTCTCTGACTGCTCTGCATATAAGTCCCCGTTCCCCCTCGACCCACGCTGACAGGTGTTTACCATGACTATGTCCAGCGCATCCGGCAAGCTCACATTTAGGGGTGCCCTGGGGGAGAACTAATCGAACCTGAGTGCTCCCTGTGGGGCCAGTGCCGGGAGGCCGGGAAGTGGTGGGGAGACCATGTGGGTTTCTGGCAGGTTCCTCATATTCACGAGGGGTGGGATTTGGGCAGGACAACAAGTACCTGTGTGAAATTTTGCACAGAGGCGCGAGTCCTCTTCTGTGTTTGTTTAAAGAGATGCCGTGCATATTTACAGAGCCAGAGAGTAAAAGAAAATGACAGGCACTGACTTGGTACTTTAAGTTTCTTTAGGGGAAGACAATTTTGGGTATCTTTTTGGAGCTCTGAAAACCACGTTTACACTTGTAAATAAGAGGACTGGCAATGCCATTGCTCTTAACGATGCAGGAAAGTGCAACATTGTTTCAACTGGATCATTAGTATAAAAGATTCCTTTGTGTCTCCTAGTCTCAGTTAAGTTAGGAGCCAGTCTTTCTGGCCTGGAATCTGACATAAGCAAGATGCATCCCCATTGAGCTGGAAAGGGTTTTAAGTGTCCCTGGCAGGAAGGGGGAATGGACGAGCTCTGTGGGGAGGTTTAAGTGCAGGGCGGCGTCCTAACACCCGTGCGGAGCAAGATGCTTCTGGCGTTCTGTGTTTGCTTACTTAGTTTCCTCACTTGCAGGATTCAGTATGGTACTTGAACTGTCAGCTTCTGTGGGTTACTTACGTGTATGGGCCTCTAGAGCAGGCTTCCCATTTCCTTACTCAGTGTCACAAATAATTGATTCTGTTGTGAGCCATTATGTCCCCAGTTCAGCGCTGTTACATGTGGGAGGGGTCTGCCTTCGCTGGGCCTGGCTGCGGGTGGGGAGGGGCATCAGGCTCTTCGGGCATGGATGAGGCTGTCCAGCCTCTACGAGGTCTCGCTGAAGGAGCCAAGTTGGAGAAAATGTTCAGTCCCGCTGGGGGAAAAAGTTCCTGATGCAAAACCCAGGCTGGTCACCTTGTGTTAAGCATCAGAATACAGAGCCCGGTGCCTGGCTGCTTAAAAGATCAGTGATGGGATTCAGGACAGTAAGAGGTGGGCAGCAGGAAAGGAAATGGCAGGAAATCTCATCTGGATCCCTGCAAATGCTCTGGAAAGCTCTTTGTAACTATCTTAAACTGTTGGCTTTTATTTCAAATGCTAATGACTGCTCACTTTCTTGCCTGAGAGCATCTCTCCCTGCTCCACTGCCCACAAAGGAGCACTGGATTACGGGGCCATTGATTCTGTGTGGTTGTTTACTAGTCGTCCCCTCACTTCCAAGGGCTGATCAAAGAAACTCTTCCTCTGGAGGTGCAGTGGGCACGTGCTGCCAGTGGGTACCCCGGCACGCCACCCCCAGCCTGGGCTGCGGCCAGTGCCCTCGGGGGCGGTCCCCTCTCCTGGGCCTCCTCTCCCTTGCCACCCCTCCTGCCTTGCTTGCCACCCGTCCCAGGCCTCCAGGCTTTCTGTCCGGCCTTCGAAAGCTGGCTTTGTTTCTGCAAGTCTCCAGTTAGCCCAGCACTGTAATGAAACCATTTTATATATATATATTTTAAAGTTTTTAAAGCTTTTATTTATTTATTTGAGAGAAAGTAAGAGAGAGAGAGCACAAGCAGTGGGAGGGCAGAGGGAGAGGGAAAAGCAGACTCCCCACTGAGCAGGGAGTCTGATGTGGGACTTGATCCCAGGACCCTGAGATCCTGACCTGAGCTGAAGTCAGATGTTTCACCGACTGAGCCACCCAGGTGCCCCATGAAACCATTTTAATACCCGAAGAAACTGATAAGTAAATCACCAGCCACCTGGTAAGTATGACCGGTCTGTTTTCCCCCTCCTGGGCTGTCTTGAAATCCACAGGCTTCCTGTTCCCCAACACGTGTCCTCTGCCCTCCTGACTCCACTGCACTCTTGTCCGTTCTGCACATATAGCACCAGGTTCCATGCTGTCTCAAAGGCCTGTGGTGGCTCAAGCTGCCTGAGGAGAAGAAGAAATACTACGTGGACCAGCCCTATCCAGTAAGGAGCTCTGCATTGTTGGAGATGCTCTGCACCTGCACCATCCAATATAGCAGCTCTACTGGCCATGCGTGGCTGATGACCATTTGAAATGGGGCTACTGTGACTGAGGAACTGAATTTTTACTTTTTTTTTTTTTTTTTTCCTTAGAGCAAGAGAACCAGGGAGGGGAGGAGCAGAGGGACAGGGAGAGATGGAATTTTAAGCAGGTTCCATGCCCTGCCAGGCACCCGTCGTGGGGCTCGATCTCACGAGATCGTGAGATCATGACCTGAACCGAAATCAAGAGTCAGACACATAATTGACTGAAGCACCCAGGCGCCCCCTGAATTTTTACTTCTTCTATTTAATTGTAATGAAATAAATTTCAATAGTCACATGTGTCTAGAGACTACCACATTGGACAGCACAGATACAGACCCTCCTCAGTCTTAATCTCAATTTCCAGCCTATTTCCCAAAACATTCTGTCATACCTCACATATTGTGGATTTTTCATCCCAAGCCTTGCCTTGGGCTCTGTCCTTCACGAAACCGTCCTCCCCTTCCCCAACCCCATTTCCCATCCATCCACACCCACCCAGATTCCACCTCTTGATGTAGGAGTGGTAAGGCTCAGGAAGGCCTTTGGGATGAGAGGTATTATAGCAGCTGTCTTTGGAAGATAAATTTGCCTTGTGGCCATCAGCAAATTCTACCCAGGGTTGGCATAGACTATACTTGTCTCCAAGTTTGGACTTGTTTCTTTTTCATCTTGTGTCCCTAAGGGGCCACGCACATAGTAAGTGTTCTCTATTTCTTAAGTGGATTGAGTCCCACAATATTGTGTAAAAGGGAAAGGAAATCTAAGTTCACTGTTAAACTGATGTTCTCTTGATTAATAAGGGCTTTAAAATCTGTCTTAATGAGCTCTGCCTTGGGTCCCCACTTAAATTACAGGCAAGGACAACAAATGCACTATAATAATAGTGCCTTGTGTGTATAAATCCCCTTATGTCAGAGTATTTTAAAAGCTTTAGAAACAAATTCTGATATTATGATATATCACCCTTCTCCTTATATATAAACAATCACTAAATAACCAAACTTTGTCATTAACGTGAAACAAATGTTTAGGCTATAAAGTATTGATTCGTGTTTTTGGTTATCTCAGCAAATATCTTGGTCCTAAAGGAGTTGACTGTCTTCAGCCCTAATGAATGAAGGGTTCCATTAATAATGAGTTTGTTTGGATAGATCAGAAGTCTTGTATAAGATGTAAAATACCATCGCTATGAGGAGATGCATAGAACAGCTATCTGAAAGACAAGTATAGCTTTCATGGTGGTTACATTTCTATCAGATTCTCCAGATTGGTTTTAAAATGTTAAATCGGAGGCGCCTGGGTGGCTCAGGTCATGATCCTGGGGTCCTAGGATCGAGCCCCTCGACACGGGCTCCGCGCTCAGTAGGGAATCTGCTTGTCCCTCTCCTCCTCCAACCCCCCGCCCCCGCTAGTGCTGTCTCTGTCTCTCTCTCAAATAAATAAAATCTTTAAAAATAAAACAAAATGTTAAATCATTCTGGGCATTATCCTTCTCCACAAATGAGCATTAAGCATCTACACGAGGGCACTGTGCTAGGCTTTAACCAGTAGGAGTCACTTTATGTGATTGGTCTGCAAAAACATCCAACTCTGTATTCCAGTGTCCGTGGTCCCACCCTAGTTAGCAAGAAGATAATCAGCATTACTTAATCCTCAGCTCTCCCTGAGGCAGTGGTAGGACGTCAGAAAGTGTGAGATTTATAGTC